ATTAGAAATTTATAAATCTTAACATATACATTGATAGAAAGAGGAAAATATATGATATCAAAACCACAGGTGAAGTAGTAATTTCACCAACTATTGAGGTAGAACTATCGCCAAATGTTACGGAAGAAGGAAGGTAACAATCAAACATATCAGTAGGACTTTAATTTCAAGCTCAACTACACATGGAAACGTCATCGTGGTAGTGGTTTAAATATTTAGGGCTCTTTAGAATGATGTTCTTTGAATTAAGAAGAATGAAAACCTTTTTGAATTTGTGTGTGTGTTAGGATAACACATGAACATTCAAACTTTCAAACGTTCATATATCTAATAAACGTGGTTCTGTATCTATTTTATCTTTGACTCATTTTACGGAACAAAATTAATGATCTATTATAGACTAAAAATACCAAATATGGCTGGTTTGCATATATATGCATTTTATGTGTACAATAAAGCTACGTGATTTAGTGTATATGATTGGGGAAATTTTTTTTCGTAAAAACAACATATCTTGGAATTGAGAAAACTCATGTTTCGCAATATCTTAGAAAGAAATTATGTTTTTTTTTTTCATAAATCATAACTCACTTAAACTTTTATAGATATTGCAATATAGTATATATATAATTTTGTTGAAAAAAAAAAGTATATATTTAATAATATCAAAAGTTACAAATTTGTTTTTTTTTGTTTTCTTTAAACAAATTGTTGTTTGTGCAATATAATTCGTTATTCCAAACAAAGACTACAAATTTGGGATTTATTGAATTTTCTTTAAAAGCATTTTTTGTTATTCCCAACAAAGACGACAATTGAAATTCTCTACGTTTTGTTGATGTGGACTGACATAGTGACATGTATAATTTGCTCGGGAAGTGACATGTCATAATATCATCGCTTTCTTAAGTCCATTAACTATTTTGTTTGATAAGAGGTTTAGTACGGATTAATTGTTTTTATAGAGTACGGATTGATTATTGAAGATATAAATTAATTACTTAAAGACATACTAAGGACATATCCAACCATTACACTAAATTTAGTGTGATTTTAGCACCATAAATGGTTCGCGGTCGATGAAGCACAGCGTTCATAAATTTAGAGTGACATTTTTTTTGAGTGCCGAGGTAAGATTTGTCACCATTTGAAGATCACGCCTTTATCGAGACAAGAAATGGTTTCACCATTTTAAAATCACGCATTTGAGTGTTCTGCGTCAAATGTCACCATTTGAAGATCACGCCTTTACCGAGACAAG